CTCCTCAGGGTGCCGTCGGCCAAGCAGTGTCGGCTGGCGACCCCCAGGGGGAGGGCCTTCTCTGTGGGTGCCCCTACCCTCTGGAATGAACTACCCCCCGAGATCCGGATAATTCCGGATCTCCTTACCTTCCGTCGCGCCCTCAAGACATGGCTCTTTCAGCAAGCGGACCTGACCTAGGGTGGATTTTATATTGGGTGTTAAGTATTCGGAAGACGCAACATTAAAATTCGGTTTAATTCGGTTTTAAGGGGGGGATTGTATATATGTTCTGGTTTTAAATATGTTGTGCGCCGCCCTGAGTCCCGTCGGGAGAAGGGCGGCATATAAATTAAATTAAATAAATAAATAAATAAATAAATAAATAAATAAATAGGAAGGATGGGATGTTATGCACATTTATGAGAAGTTGGAAATAACCAACAATGCTACCTTGGAGAAAACTGGATGTGTATGTATGAGAAAATGGATTGTAAGGACAAACATGAGCTAAATGAACTGAAGATCATGGACCACATTTTTGGATTGTGAGTTCAGCCTTATGAGGTAGTCAAGAACCATACCCAGATGAATAAATACTGCTTTTTATAAGGTTACATTAACAGAATCTTGCCAAATCTCAAAATAAATTTCTTCCCCGTTGGTGTTACAGTCTCTAGTTTCTGTAATGGCTAAAGAGTCTTTTTGAGATTATTTGCCATGCTTATATTTCTTCTGCAGGCTGTCTCTTATCTCACTGTTCCCCTGGTTATGGCTCTTTTCCCAATCTCTTAAGATCATTCCCATATTCTATTACATGCAGTTCCTTAGACTTCTGGTTCTGGTGAATTTCAATCTCCATGCTTAGGAATTGGGTTTGGGTTAGTTTGCAATTTCATGGTCTTTCAGCCCCATTATGACTGTGAAAGTAAGTGCAAAGGAAGGTTACTTTATTATAGTAGTTATAAAAACAGAGTCTTGCAAGCCTGGCTATGCTTTACACACCCACACCAATACTCATGGCAAACTAAAGAAGTATCAATCTGAGCTATTTCTTCCTCTTCTCAGATTGTTTTTGGGTTGAGTCATGTTTCTTCCCTCATCACTTTTGGGAGGATGTTCGTGAAGATCCTCTTCTTTAATTTCTACACAGACTTACTTGTAACCATGGGCCTGCGTTGGTAAATTCAACTATAACTTCCAAAGACAGGCAAGCACTGGATTTAGTTTCTATTTCAGAGTAAATGAGATGGGATCTACATATGGAGGACCTTGACATCTATCTGTCCTTTGCTATTGTCAGATCATTTTTGGTCAGGATGCATTCTAGGCAGCAAAGAAATGATGATGGTTTTCTGAAGGCATTCAGGCAATTTCCTGACAATTTGGTGGGTAGTTTCATCCTGTACTTGATCAAGCTCTTCTATAAAGAGACAACTGGAATATTGGATAAAATTATTCCTGTGAGGTTTCCTCCGTCACAGATCTTGAGCAACCCCATGCTTTGCAGGGGAGCTATAGGAGATAAAGAGAATGAAAAGCTGCCAAGACTGACATAAGATTTAAAATGCAGGTTTAAGCCTAGTAGTGATAAATGCAAAGTACTCCTCCACTCTTCCTGTGTCTCCAAATTTCCATTTGAAGCCATATTCAAAATTACTCCGATACTCCAGAGCAAGAATGAAAGGACAAGATATCTGCAAATCATTCAAATATTTCTGCAGCTTTCTCTACAGAAACCTGCACATATTATTCATTTGTGTCTTGATGCCATTTGGGTAGAATCAGGTAGGGTGAAGGAGACAAAGTCTTCCAGAATTACCTGGCATTGTTTTAGCTTCTAAATGCAACACATGGATAAAGTATTCTGCAATATGAATTCTGTCACCTAAGGTTTGGATACATGCCCCTTATGACTCCTTTGGGCAACCAGGCAGGACACATTTAGCTGGATTTAGGATAGGATTAACATTTCTCTGAAGAAAAGTGTGATGTCTCTGCTATGAAAAGGACAATGGTGTGCTCTCTCTTAAAAAGGCCATCTCTCAACTTCTGCATAGTCCCCTTATCTTGGAAACACTAAATGTGAAGAATATGCCATGCTGGTGACAATTAATTATACCATCAACTATAGTATAAT